TAAAGAGAATTGTGGAATCTTGGGAATTCCGACCTTCAATATTTTAGAAGAGCCCGGTTTTTTATCCCCCTCTGTCTCGAAGAACTGAATTAGCCTTTAAGTGATTCAAGTTAAATTTGGTTAGCCTTTGGAGGTTTTTGAATATTTTTATGGAAGATAGCCGGTTTGTTTTAATGGTGGGAAAAAACCTGACCCCAATTAAATTCGGTTCCCCAAAATGGAAATTTCTTTTGTTAAAGATTTTTCCCCGATAAAGGGCTCAAAGGCCTGCCTTTGATTTAAAGATAGTATTAACTGAAAAATTCTATACCTCAGACTATCTACTAGAAGACTTTAACGTATTCCACTCATTTAATAAGAAACGCGCTAAGTGCAGGTGGATCCAAAGAATACGTTTCAACTTTAGTTAGCATCCCATCCCCAATGTCAGGAAGATACAGAGACGATTTAACAGTAACTGTCGTATTTTTTGGTGAACCAATTAATCCATCCTCAACAGACGGCTCGCTCGTTACAAACCCAGAAGGAACAACTCCACCAAAACCAAAGCTTTAATACTATAATTGAATCAAGATTCAATTCCAACTAATAGAATAGCTAGAAATGATACCAATTCAATCTTATTCTAATCCCATTTATAAGCCCATCATCTCAACATCATTACTATACGTTCGGACCTGACTATTAAAACACACATCACAATATACGAACCCTTATTTAATCAAATATCAACTTTTTGCTAAAATTTAAAGCCTCCTTGACTAAAAGATACCCATTTCTTTAAAGAAGAGACTATTTCAGATTGTTTTACGAGGTAATATTCTAGTTTTCAAGTACCTTTGGCTGATTCTGTAAGGAAAACTTGGTATTACTAGTTGTTTTACGTGTGTATGCCTGTCTTTTAAGGTGCGGTTCTGATTTTCTAGCTTTAAATTTTACATTTACATTTACATTTACATATTACCATTACTTTTGCCTTTACCTTTTTGGAGTCTTTAACCGTTTAAGAATATTGTGTTTGGATTATACTGGCGTAGAATTTCTATTAGACTACACCAATAGTTATAAAAATAGTTTTCGATTTTGGGTACTCTATCGAATTTGATTTTGATTTACAGTAGTTGTAGTTGGGTTTGTTGTCCAAGGAAACATTAGTTTGTAAAAAAAATAGAAATAAAATATAAATAACCATAACTTTTATACAAGAGAAACAAAACTTTAAAAATGAATTCGAATGTCACTTCTGTCAAATTAGTGTTACTAGGTGAAGCTGCCGTTGGTAAGTCTTCTATTGTTTTAAGATTTGTCTCTAATGACTTTTCAGAAAATAAGGAACCTACTATTGGGGCTGCATTTTTAACACAACGAGTTAACATTGATGATCACACCGTCAAATTTGAAATTTGGGATACTGCTGGACAAGAAAGGTTTGCATCATTGGCACCAATGTATTATAGAAATGCCCAAGCTGCATTGGTAGTCTACGATGTCTCAAAGCCACAATCGTTCATTAAGGCTCGCCATTGGGTCAAGGAATTGCAAGAACGAGCAAGCAGTGACATTATTATTGCTCTAGCAGGAAACAAAGTAGATATCGTTGAAGATGGCGGTGAACGTAAAGTAGCCACTGAAGAAGGTCAAAAACTTGCAGACGAAGAAGGTTTATTATTTTTTGAAACTAGTGCCAAGACTGGCCAAAATGTAAATGAAGTATTCCTTGCAATTGGTGAAAAGATACCAATAAAAAAACCAAACGAACATGCTAACAATGCAAATGCGGATGGAAGTAACGATAACAATAGGGTAGATATAACATCCTCGGATAACAATGCAGCAGCAGTTTCAGGATGTAATTGTTAGGGCAAGATAATATTTTGCCAATCACAAGTCGATAAAATAGAGAAGGGAAGAAAGGATGAAGCAAGGGACATTATATATCAAAACTGAAGGACTATATTTCGGTTAGGATTGGGCTCTTTATGTTTTGTTTATAGAACAACAACGACATCTCCTACTACCACCACTACTACTATTAATATTATTATTTTCCGTCTTTGTCTCACCTTCTTCCTAAGATCCACTTCTCCCTGTTATTGTTATGTTATATGACCAACCTTATACATCGTATAATTATCTGCATTTTCTCATCAACTTATTTGAAATCCAAGCTACTCAATTCACTTCCCCTACCCCTCCATTCATATTTTGTATCTAATCTTTATTCTTTCCATCGTCCAAACCATATAATGTATAATATATATCTATATATACCAAGATAACCTATATGTATATCTAACAACTTGGATTCAAACCCTGAAATGAGAACCAGAATAAGATCCCAACCACATCCACAAGCTATTCCAATAACCTTCCTGATCTCATCATCGACATTGCTGACCCAATTTCACTTGTATTCAACCGAATTTCTTGCAACAAACTCGATACTACCAACCAACAACATCTACATCTACATAGATCCCCAGAACAAATCCTCTACCTTCCTCAAGCAAGCCTACCATCCTTATAAAACCAATCTCTTTCAACCTCATCACGTCAACTTTCAGTTCCTTCTCTTTACCTCTTTTTGCTTAATTTTTCACCTTTGTTTAAAAGTGGTGAAAAAATAATTAACAAGCAAATTAAGTTAAGATAAAAACTTTTATTAGTTGATATAGAGATGATTTAATAAGCAGATAAGCTATTTCATTTCAATAGGACATTGTTGTATATTACAAAGATCAGTTGTAATTGTCGTGATATTGTGGGAGAAGTTTGGTGTGAGCTTTGTTTGATCTTTCAACAGTTCGATAGTATTGAAAGAAAGAGAGAAATTTAAATATTGGAAGAATATAGACAACTAGAAGTATTATAACAGGGGAATAAAGACCTAGATATTTTTAAATGCCGTCACATTCGAAGAATAAGAAGAGAAAGAGTAAGTCTAAAGGAGGTTCCACTGTCAAGAAAAGCGGTGGATTGTTAGAGAAAGGTATTGGTAATATAACTGCCGAATTGTATAATGATACTGATGATTATCCTACTTCTCGTGTGATAAAAAGAGCACCTAATGGTGATGTTATTGTAGAGTCTCTGCCTACAAAGCCCAAGAAATCCAAATCAAGACAGACCAATAGTTCTAGTAATAATGATATGATTTTAGATTTGGATTCACACTGGGAATGGTTATCTCCTGAAGAGAAGAAAAATATTTTAAGAATCGATAAAGATGAAGTCTTTGAAATGTTGAGCAGGTATAACAATCATAACAGCAACAATGTTAATGGTAATACTAATAACAACAACATTATAGGTACTGGCTCAAACAATCTCAGTGGTGGTATCAGTACTAACAGCAATAATAATACTTCAAGTTCATGCAATTGTAATGTCTGTGGCCGTCGTCATATGGCAATGGATCAAGAGATGGAACGTATTTATAATAGATTATATGAGATGCAAAGAGAAAATTACGAGGATATGACGCATATCAAATTCCATTTGAACATTATAAAAGATCTACAAAAACGAAAAACTCAAATGATATCACCTCCTGCATCTCCAGAAATGGATTCAAATAATGTCGATGAAGCTCGAGAACCCAATAGTGGCAGTTCAAATGAATCTTTGGATATTAAAAATGATTTAGAGACAATGAGAGATGAAGTGGTGAAATATTTTTTATCTCCAAATTCCGTAGATACGTTGAAGAAAGAAGTTTTAAATTTTAAACATAATAAGCAAAAACAATTTCAAACTCCTATATCACTAAATGAAGATAATACCGAGGAAGTAGTTGAAGATAATGAAGCACAACATATATATGATGATTTATCAAATGAGATACATGATTCTGGTTTAATAGAATCTCCAAGGACTGTAGAAGATGATGCTAATATCATAGATATTGAATCAAAATCAAGATATTTGAATTTTGCTAAAACTTTTATTTCTTCACATCCTACTATAGCTCAAGAATATGTAAATAAAATGATCATGTATCCAGAAATGAAAGAGTTGACAGATGACTTAATGAATAACAATGGTTCTGGATTTATAAAAGCTATTGAAGAATTTGTACTCGATAAACAAAAGCAAAATACACTTCCAGATACTGAAATAGATATTAATGATGTAAATTCACAACAGCATGAAAATCCAGAGGAAGCACTTCAGGTACAGGATTTAGGTGATGCAAAAGAGTTCACAACAATGTTACATAATGGCCAGCCTTTAACTTCAGATGAATACGCAAATTTACAGCGTCATATCGCAGAACGAGTAACGGATGCATATAATACCGAGACAAAAGAATTTGAAGGCATATCGCAACTTGAAAAAGAATTATTTACAAGGTTTATGCATGGAAGTGATCGAAGACAATTTGGTGATTCAATCTTACAACTATTCAAAAATAAATATGATGATAAATTAAGTGCCAATTCAATTAGTACCTCCCTTGCCGCTGCCGCTAGTACCATCACTCATGACATAATTTCTCCCAGAAATGATGATGGTAATGATACCGAAGAAGATATTGATTACTATGATGATGAAGATGATGTTTCCAGTGAAAATATACACCATAGAAATGATTTAGATGATGATTTTAAAAGTAGGGAAGAATATTCTGATTACAACAGTGATTTCCATGATAACAGAAAGTGTGAGAAATATAATGATTTCGACGACGACGATGATTATTTGGATAACAACAGAAATCTTGAGTGTGCGCATGCAGAACATAATCATGAAACATTATCAACTTATCACCATGATGTTGATTTGGCAGACAGCAATTCGCACGGTTATAAAAATTATGCATCACACCATACTTCATCTCAGGTTAGCGAAGATTATATTGACGATATTGATGATGATGGTTATGAAAGTGGTATTGACGAAAATGAAAGATTAGAGGAGGGGAGAAAGTTATTACAGATAACAATTACAAAAATCTTACAAAGAAGAATTATGGAATCTTACCATGCTAAACAAGCTGAAAATAATAGAATGAAATTATTAGAAGAGTTGGAAGCTGAAGAATCTAAAAAGAAGGAAAAAGAAGAAAAAAAACAAAGGAAAAGAGAGAAAGAAAAGGAAAAGAAGAGACTACTTCAAGTTGCAAAGGAAGAGGAAAGAAAGAAGAAGGAAGAAGAAGCTGAACGACTAAAGAAAGAAGCTGAAGAACGTGAAATGGAAAGAAGAGAAACACAAAGAAAAAAAGTTGAGGCAGCAAAGAAAAAGAAGGATGAAGAGAAGAAACGTAAATTAGAAGAACAAAGAAAGAGAGAAGAAGAACAAGAGCGTCAAAGAAAAATCAAAGAAGAACAGAAACGAAAAAAGGATGAAGAACGTAAACAGAAAGAATTAGAAAAGAAGAAGAAAGATGAAGAAAAAAGGATACAAGAAGAAGAAAAACGCAAGAAAGAAGAAGAAGCTGAACAAAAAACATTAAATGAGAAGAAGCGTTTAGATGTTGAAATTATGGAGCAGAAACGATTGGAAGAAGAGGAAAAAAGGCTCAAATCTACCGCTTCCACATCAAATGTTCCCTATGCTGAGTTGCTAAAAATGACACCGTCACTGCAACCTGTTTCAGGAAATATTAATGATGAGCTATTCGGTATGATAAATGCAGCAACGTCTTCTCAATCAATTCCAACATCTTCCTCGCATTTGAACCATTTATTACAACAAAATGATGCTTCTCATTTCAACATGACTCCAAGACATGATCTTTTGAATCCATCTGGCGGTATGCATTTTGGTCCTTCTGACCTAATTGAACAATCTCATTTTACTCATAAAAGCAATTCGTTCGATACTTTGGCGGCAATTAACGATCCAACAACTCCACAAACAACGTTACCATATGGAAACTCTTCTGTGCCACCAAATTCTTTTGATATCTCCTCATGGGGGAATTTCAATGGATCGTCTACTGCTGAAACACAATTACAGTCTCAGTTACCTCAACAATCCTTACTGGGTTCCCATTCTGTCACATCAGATCAGAATCGAAAATCTTTTAATGAAGAATTGAATACTATTACGAACCTATTATCAACTACTGGTTTAGAAGATCAATTATCACAAAAGGATTCATTTGCTCACAGTTCATTATGGGGTTCCCAAGGAACATCGTTATCTGGATCAAATCCAAATTTGTCTTCAAATTTTGCTCCTGCTGGTTTGCCAATCAATCAAACTCCAATTTCGCCTGGTAATATAGGTATTCCTACTACAACACATCGTAGTTCAATCTGGGATATTTCAAGCGGTGTTGACTACTCGCTAAATGATAATAAAATTACAGGTAGCATTCAATCTGAAAGACCTTTATCCAATGTAATCCCTTCAAGTTATATGTCCCCGAACATCTGGTCTGGAGGAACCTCAAAGATTCCAGTGATAGAACAACCATTGGTTTTTAATCCTAACGAGAATCAGACTAATCCAATTTCTAACATTATCCTCAGGGAACTTTCATTATTGACATTACCTAATTCAACGGATCAATACGTTTCAAGTGAATTACTGTGTCAAAAGGTTATGGCTAACAGAATAGATTATGGGGTTTATTTTACTGAATTGATGAATTTAAGGAACGCTCACAAGATTGAGATAGCATCGAATGATAATGGGCAAGTAACCCATGTTAAATTAGTATACAAGAGTAAAGATGAACTAGAAATGCCTTTAAATTCCAGTGAGAATCAAAATTCACACATACAAATGCAACAAAACTATGGTCTTCAACCAATATCTTCTACTACCGCAGGCAACACAGCAAGCACAACAGCTAACAATGCAAATGGAAGTACTATAAATACTTCCAATTCACATTTCTTCAACATTAATAAAACTATCAGTAACCCATCCGTAACTGCAAACATATGGAGTTAATTTGATTATAACGATTTTAAATCAAATTAATACACATCATCCATCTGATACAGAATCCCAGATAACAAACAAGAGGATAGATCTATGCAATACGTCTTCCCTTCCCTTCCCTATGGATATCAGTGTTTCATTAAGTAATTAGTATATCGATATCTATATATATATAATCAGTTAACTCATATAAAAGCATAAATAAATATTCAAATATTTTCCAAACAAAGGAAGGATAATGATACTCCCATCAACTTTAGAAGTTCTAGAATATCCTTATTAAGCAATAATCCTTCGAAATCGTATTAAATCAACATCTTATTCCCAAATATGGTTCTGTTCCTTATTTAGAATGTTCATTAACATCGATTTTGGATTAAATTTAGTACTTAAAAAATATCATTAAAGTTTGATATAAAAACTTGACATTTCTGAAGGTATTGAAGTTGTTTTGAAACGATATTGAAGTGTAAAACTGGCTAATCAGTTGTTGAATACCTATGCCAGGTTGTTAAGAAACTCTAAGTTGCTGTTACAATTGTCTCCTTCAGTTAGGGTTTTTGGCTTTTTTTAGAAATATCTTCTACTACTTTTAAAGAATTTTTGGAATATACATTCATTCCAATACTTAAATATAACAAGTAGAGGTTAGTAAGAAGGAGATTGGTTAATTTGGTTTGGTAGATTTATCTAAACGCTAGAAAAAGTGGCATTTTGCAGTGTGATTACGTTGGGTTTTCATTGATGGTGATACCAATAAAACATAAGGCTTATATTAAGGAAATTTTATTTATTAGGTGATGGCAGATACTCCTGTTAAGAGAAAATTAGTTATAATAGGTGATGGTGCCTGTGGGAAGACTTCATTGTTATATGTCTTTACATTGGGGAAGTTCCCTGAGAAATACCATCCTACAGTTTTCGAAAACTATGTAACAGATTGTATAGTCGACGGTATTAAGGTATCGTTGACATTATGGGATACAGCAGGTCAAGAAGAATATGAGAGGTTGCGACCATTCTCTTATTCAAAAGCTGATATAATTCTGATCGGGTTTGCAATTAATGATACAGAATCACTGTATAATGCTCGAACAAAATGGTCTGAAGAATCACTTCGATACTGTCCAGATGCTCCTATAATATTAGTGGGTTTAAAGAAGGATTTAAGAAATAATAATACTGATGGAGATGATTTAGTGAGGTCTGAAGATGCAGAAACTGTAGCAAGGCAGATCGGTGCAAAGAAGTATTTAGAATGCAGTGCTCTAACTGGTGAAGGTGTTGACAGTGTATTTGAGTTAGCCACACGGACAAGTTTATTGGTTAACAAAGAACCAGGAAGCAAATGTTGTACAATAGTTTGATGACAAAAGAATAGATGCCATCACTATTTATCCTTCGAAATTATAGACTTCACAACTTCTTTATGGTGGGGCTATTGTTATGACAAGAGAACTTATGACTATTTTATAAACAATTTCTAATGAATAATTTCCATTCACATACACTCAGTGGTATATAAGATGAGAACTACTGATAACATATTTAATATATATAATAATTAAACAGGAATATGGTTTCCCGTGTTTTTTAAATTTGTATACTCCTGCACCCTATAACACTTTGATATGAACAATCCAAGGTTATTTTACTTACTTGAGGTGAGGAACAAGGTACTTATAACCTCTTTTAGAATAATTGCAGAGTGTGGATTGGTTGGATTGAGAGAATAGCTTAATACAAACATGGATTCTAAAAGAGTACTAACAAATAATGACAACTCATCGACTGAATATTCGTTGGATTAAGAGAGGTTTCAAGATTAGATTTAACTTTGCTTCTAAATAAAACTTAATATAATAAATCATGGATATTGTAACATATATAGAAAACTATATTTGGCCTTTTATATACTTATTGTTATTATTTTATTCAGTGCAGCAGCAGTAATAATAGTGTTATCGATTAAACAAAAGAGGTAACTTCGAAGAATCTCTTTAAGTAGTAAATTTGGAAGATGGAGTTGACGACAACGACACCCAATTGGAAGATAGACCACCATTTAACTCTGTCATTTGTAGATTCAGCAGTGTTTCTGTGGGTTCTTTCTCTGATGATAATATATTGTTGTTCATTTTTAACTTCATTAATTAATTTAGACAATTTTCTAACGGCACTATCTAGAGTATCACCATTTTCATCATCCAAATCGATATATTTGGTACCCCATATGTTAAAGGACACATCCTTAGTTTGTATATTGGAATTTTCGTTTAGGAAACAGTATTCAAATCTACCAGCATATGGTGCTGATAATGTTTCTTCACCATGGGCAGTGTCTCTTGAACTTAATATGATATCGTTTCTTCCAGATCCAAAAACGATGAAATCACCACGTAATTGATCACTTGATTCAGGGTCTCTATTACCAAACTGGAATGAAATAGACAATTCGTCACCCTTCTTTAATTCCTCAAAGAAACATCTACGACCATATGGTGGTAACAAAACATTATGTGATTGAACTAAAGTCGTCAAATAGAAAAAGAACAACAATGAACAGGCAACCAGGCGATTCAACATCTTGTTTCCTAATCAATTCTACCGTGAGTCAGTTTACTTGAATCAAATATAACAATTCACAAAGACAATTGATGAAGAACAACTACAACAACAACCATTAAGCTTCTTAAATTTGCAAAGATCAGTTCAACTTGTATCAAATTTATTCATTATTCTTAGTTTAAACAATTTGAGATCTTAATCCATACAGAGGTTTCGTGTTTTATTTTTTTTTGGGATTGGGTTCTTGGTGTACGTACATGATGATTATATGTCACGTGTATTTAGTTTTTTGTATTATTTGGCCTTTAATTATTATTTAATTGTATATTGAATTTGGTATACGTTAGAATGAAGGCTGGTAAGCGTTTATTCTATAGGATCTTAAGGGTTGAGATCTGTAAGTTAAAGTAAATATACTAGTTAATAATAATAAAGTTCTATATTCTTTTATGTACAAAGTAAGATACTAAATAATATACAATAATATACAATAATGTACAATGATCTCTTTAAATAGCAATATTGATAATATGACACCATTTATTGTAACGAATTACATCCCGACATTATCAAGGTTCGTACGATGTAACCTTGAAATAATACAATGTGGATATGATAGATAGAGGGATACATTCAATTGGCGGCATAAGAGAAGATGACATCGAATTGCTTGCAATTTAGATTAGCCATTGTGATAAATAAGTGTATTAAATTATTACATGGTATTATACTCCCTCCCCCCTACTCCTGACCTTCCAGAAAACTCTTAAAATTATCAAGTTGAATACAAGAAGTGTTGTAGCTTCAACACCAATTTCGTCCTTCTGATCAAAAGTTTTAAAAACTCCTGATGGTTTGAAATATTACTGATTGTAATGAACGATTATCCCATTACATAACAACTCTCTCCATAATTTCATCAATTGATTAGAATGCTTACATAAACCTGTATACCTTGTTTTTATATAATTGTTTGTATATAGATCTATCAATCCCTGTATTTTCTAACATTAGGATTATCTTTGTATTGCTTTTGTGGAGATGCATCAGTAGAAGACTCTATAAATTTGTAAAACCTATCAGCATAATCTCTAGGAGGAATTGCACTGACAACTTTTAAGTCATGGCCTAAACCTCTCCAAAACGTTTCTAATTTCTTAATTATTGAATAGTTTGTTAGACAGTCAATAATTCCGACGTAGTATATGATGTTTAAATCCTTGTTATCCTTATCTGAAGCCCGGAATCCTCCTTCATACTCTTTGAAATAGTGAGATACAACAGAGTTTGGTTTGTTGGTGTTCAAGTCGATTCTATGTTCTCTCCCGCTATTTGATGCAGCTTCTTGTCCAGATTCCTCATCAGATACATTCCCAGAAATGGCACTGTCCCTAGAGGCCTTCCTTATATCATGGATCCCAATTAATAAGGAATAATCCATTGTGTTTAATTTGGCCAGTAACTTTACATCTTTTCTCAGTTGTTCTAAAAACTTTTGTCTCTTTATTGGGCCAAGACTGATGTGTTGATGCTCGTCGATCCAATTTAAATCCTTTAGAACAGGTTTGTAATTTGAATCGTTTTTCAATTTCTGTAAATCTACTTTTGTTAGTCTACCCCAGGTAGAACCTTTTAAATCATAAGTGGCGTGCATCTCTAGATGTGGAGGAAATAAATTATTCATTACAATGAAGTAAATTTTTCTATGCTTAATTTTGTTTTGGAATGACATTGGCATTTTAATTCTATGTAAACCATAAAATTGACAAAGCAAGGTGTCGGGATTTTCTTTAACATGCTTGTAATAATCGTTTAAATGCTTTCTTAAATGAAGATGTTCTGAATGATGTATTGTTTTAATGATATATCTATAATCTCTTGAATAGTAAAAGAAAGAACCACTCTTACCAGGTGAATGTAATTCACTTAAAATATACTTTGATGTCAATGATACTAAATAATCAGCGGGATCAAGACCAAACATAGCCCTAAGTTCTCGAAAAACCTCAGGTGCATAATCCTTAAATTTAAAGGCGTATTGCGAAGATGGAGTTAATTCATTGCCATGGTAATCAAATGCCAATTTTTTGGTGAATGAAAAGTCAGACGATGTTAGTGGTTTCATTATCCCAGAACAGCGAGAGACAGCTACTCTAATACCTGTCAGCATATTGTATGCGATAATGAAGTTTACATGACCTTCCGAAACTTTGTTTCCAATGAGAACACGGTCATCATCCAATAAGAAAGATTTTCTACTACGCTTCATTTCTCGTTTGTGAAGTAGGTTTTCTCTCATCTTTCTAATTTCTGCAGTTGCAGATTCAGATCTCTTTAGTGCACCATGATTCGGCACTGGAGGCAATGAAGTGAAAGATGATGATGGACATTTTCTTATATTTTTAGAGTGTTCGGAACTGCTAAAGTTAGGAACAGGAAGAGAAGTCATTGAAATATTTGGTAATATATCAACTTTATTTGCACTTTTTCCAACATTTGGATCATCGAGTGGAAATATCTGAGAGTGTTTTGATGAGTAAAACGATGGTACTGATTTTCTCGATGCTTCATTCATGCTCTTCCTTACATTTGTGGACGTTCTTGAAACCTTGGTATTCAATAATATATCATCGTCGTTAATATCGTGTACAAAAGATCCTGTTTCTATTAAACTTGTAGTATCTAAAATACTGTGTATGTCGGACACAAGGTTCTGGTTATTATCGGTTTTACTATTATTTTGAGTATTATCAATATTTATGTTATTGTCATTATTATCATTAATATCGTAAATATGGTCATGGTTATGGTCATTTAAACTTGAATCTTCATTAGTAATATTTATATTTGTTATTATGGGTTCATTAGAGTCACTTGAATTATCCTGAATTTGCGTGGTAGGTTTATCATTTTGCTTATGATTATTATCGTTATTAATGTTATGAGTTTTATTATAATTAGTATTATTCTTATTGTTATTGTTAGTATTATTATTATGATTATCGTGGTGATGATGATGATGATTGTTAATGATATTATTGGAATTGTAGCCATTATTTTCTAAGGCACTTGATGTATGCGATAATATTGTTATATTATTTATGTTATCATTAGCAGTGATAAAGTTTTCTCTTAGCAGATGAGATTCTATTTCTTCTATTATAGGAGATGAATTTGCAGTCACGAGATTACCTGAACTATTTCCTTCTTCTGAAGCGGTATAGCCTGTATAAATATCATTTCTAGTCAAGGTCATGTCTTCTCGTACTATATCTTCACTTGATGATAAGGACCTCAGCACATTTTTGTCTGTTCCCATTGTATTTATATTATGGTTATAATCATTATTATTATTATTATTGCGAATGTTATGTTGATCATATTGTCGTACGTTGTTTGGAGTTGTAAACACTGAATCTAGCATTGGGGATATTTGTTGTGATCTTGTATCCATTTCATGTGCAGTAGTCAATACTTTATGAGAAGTTACCTCGTCTACCGAAGTAGAAGTCGACGTTGACTCTCCATCTGAAGATCTGGGACTGCCGACGTTTGAGTCTGAATTCGAAGAAGAATGAAAGCTCATTGTGTGTTTGTGATGAACCTTCGTGTGCAATTTATTCACATCGTTTTGATAAGTATGATTTTCGGTTATCCTTGTCCCGTTTGAAGTTTCCATTTCCAAATACATAACTGTAGATGAAGTGGAGTGTATCACAGTCATGTTAATCTATATATCTCTGAGGAGTATTAAGTGATGAACAAAAAAAAGAGATAAAAAGATAAAAAGATAAAAAGATAAAAAGAAGAAAATTTCAACAGATGTCAGATGTCAGATGTAATTGCAAAGTCCACTGAAAACGATGATAACTGTACAAGAGAAGTTGAACAGTTGCAGCAGTTAGTTTGCTTTATTATGTTTCTTCCAAAACTTCTGTGTATATGTACCTTTAAAAAAAAAAAGACTTGTGGTTGTCTAGCGATATTGTTGTCACCAACTCTTTAACACCGTAAAAACAAAACTTTCTAAAGTATCCTTCTAGGAAGAAATTAAAGACAGCGTTTTATCTTTTCAATTCTTTAAATTCACCTTGACCAACTTCAATAGTTTGTCCAATAAATAATTAATAAAAAAATTAATAAAAAAATTAAAATTAAAATTAAAAATAAAATATACAAAGTTTCGTGTGTTAATTTTGTTTTGTTTTGCTTTGTTTTGTTTATTTTTCTTTGCAACAGCAAGTAGTCTATCTCTCTTTGTTATCTTTCAAAAAACCAATATCCAACACAGATTCCACCCCCCAGCCTCCTAGTATTCCAAACCAAAACCTTCAACCAAACCTAACATACGTACAAAACTTATATACAAACAAGACTTAAACATCCTTTGAAATGCTTTTATAATATACAAAATTTCCTTAATTTTACTTCAAATTTCCAAAAAAACATCACTTCAAAATCAAATTGTTCCCATACAAAGAAATCAAAAAATCAAAAAATCAAAGAAGAACTAAAAGAAAAATCGTGGGTTTTTGTGGTTGAGCGGCCAATTTTTTGTTTTTTTGAAAGAAAGAAAAGTTGCATATTGTTCGTGTGGGGTGACTCTGCCAAAAACAGTTAGGATATTTATTTAGTATACCATACTATACAATATACTATATACTATACAATATATATACAATATACAATTTACTATATACTACATATATAAAATGAAAAAGACAGAAATATTAAGTATACATTGGGGTCTGATTGTCGGATCTGTTTGAAGTTACAAGCAATCAGTATACTAATTGGACGAATGACCTTGTTTAATTGGATTTTAACGCTTTTATGCTTTTCTTGACACTGTCTAGAGCACTATTTAAAATCGCGACAGTGGTAAACACATCTTGAAATGTATTGTATAATGGCACAGGAGAGATACGAATAACGTTGGGTTTCCTCTCATCTACTACAACTCCATGGCGGTGCATGTATTCAAATACTATCTCCATTGTATCTTTGTTTTTACCTGTAAGTCTTGATGGAGTCAATTGGATGGAAATCTGTGCGCCGTACTGTGATTCGTTTTGAATTGGTGTAATAATTCTGAATCCTAATTCTTCTTTGCTGGATTGTTTCTTCGGATGATAATACGGAGATTTTTGCAGTTGATTGATTAGGTACTTTGTTAGTTTCAATGATTTTAATCTTAAGTTCTCAACACCTCCATATTTTTGAAATATCTTCAATGAACTTTGTAAGCAGACGACGTCTAGTACACTAGGATTGGATTGTCTAAAACCTAATGCTCCCTTGATAGGTTCGAATTTCTCTAACATTTGAAACCTTTTCTCATTATTATTCCCCCACCAACCTGCTAACCTTGGTCTATATTCATCATGATTGACATCATCACCGAATTTAAGGGCAGAGTGATGCCATTTTTCATGAATGAACAACCCACCGATACTACCAGGTCCTGAATTTAAATATTTATATGAACACCAACAGGCAAAGTCAACCCCCCAATCGTGCAATTTCAATGGTACATTCCCAACTGCATGGGCAAGATCCCATCCAACTATGATTTCAGGATATTGATGGGCAAATTTAGTGATTCTTTCAATTTCAAACAGTTGTCCCGAATAATACTGAATCCCTGGTAAACAGACCAATGCAATAGATTCGTTATTTTCTTCAATTACTTTTAAAATGTCTTCAGTTCTTAAAAACGTCTCATTGGGTCTTGCAGAAATTTGTAAAATACATTCATTTGGATCAAAATTATGCAATCTACATTGGTTATAAAATGCATAATAATCTGATGGGAATGCCTTCTTCTCGAAGACAATTTTAAACCTCTTCTTTGTTGGTCTATAAAATGAAACTAAAAGGGAATTTAAATTAGCAGTCAAAGTGTTCATTACTGCAACTTCTTCATTTTTACCACCGACAATAGGAGCTAACAATGGAACTACTGGTAAATCGATATCCACCCAAGAAGTGTCAGTAGGGTGTTTAAAATGGGATTCCACAGCCCTATCTCGCCAAGCATCAAGTTCTCTAGTGACAGTTTCCTTAGTATCCTTTGGCATCAAACCTAAAGAATTCCCACATAAATAATAAACCTCTTTACCTGCAACATCACCTTCAGTTTCATCATTAACATTTTCTGAATTCACAGGAATCCCCATCGACTTAAATGTTGGAATGGAAAAATCTTTTCTAAACTCACTGCCCAAAAACCTAACTGGTCCAAGGGTTCTCCCAGAAATCAATTAACCCTAAAGAGAAGAATGATTTCAAACTCAAAAAAAAAATTTCACATTGGGTAACCCAAATCAAAATTTCTTAACTTTTAAGCGTGGGTTCAATATCTTGAAAAAATATCAACCCATTTATCTTGATAAAAAAATATCCCAAGGTTTTGGAAATAATACACCTCAATAGGGGAAAAGAGGTGGACATTAAAAAATTTAAAACACTTTTAAGGGCGAAAACAACTCTTTTCGGGATTA